TATAAATGGATCTCATTCTCTGTAAGGTTGATTGATGCAAGATGACATAGTTTATTAGTTTTTTCAGTCAAAAAGGCAATCGTTCAGAAAACAAAAATACAAACAATTCTAGTAATACCCAAAAAAAGAGAAAAAAACCCACTGCCATCAAGTTGATTCTGACTCATGGAGACCCTATAGGACAGACTAGAACTGCCACATAGGGTTTCAAAGGCAGTAAATGTTTAAGGAAGCAGATTGTCTCATCTTTCTCCCACAAAGCAGCCTGCAGTTTCGAACCACCAATCTTTTGGTCAGCAGATCAATGCCTTAAACAAGACACCACCAGAGCTACTTGTTTCATAAAATAGATGTGGTTAAATTTTGTATGCTACCCTGCATTTTCTATTAAAAAATTTTTTTTCAGCAGGATTATTTCACTGAGACTTAAAAAAATAAAGTTAAAAAAAAACTCTGTTTAGTTCTCTACCTTATTTTCCACAATTTCAATTATTATAATTATCTCTAGAAAGTGTATAGTAGTTATTTTCACTTAGTTGTATGTTTATATTTGTTCTGGTTTCCCAGTGCCGCTCTGATAAGAATATACCACAAATGGGATGGAACAAACAGGAGTTTATTCTCTTACAGTTCAGGAGGCTAGAAGTCTGAGTTCAAAGTGCCAGGCTCCAGGGGCTGTGTAAAAGCTGCTCAACCTTGGGGTCCAGCTCTGCCTCTTGCTCCCAGTCCACTGAAGCTAGAAGCATCTCTTCACTCAGACAGCTACTGGCTGCTGAGGTTAACAAGCCCAAGGCTGACAAATAAAATGCACAGTCCCAATGTTACCAAACCACATGAAAAGCCATTAATTCAAGTCCATCGTAAGTTCCAAGATCTGCAGAGCATGGCAGGCTGCTGAACAATGACACTACGTGTAGGGTCCAAGCATGCCATAAGTTAGAGACCATTCCCAAAGCTGTTTCTTATATATGAGAAGCAGATAACATACCCAAAGCCAGCTACTCAGCTGCTCCCAGTAGATTCCACTACAGAGTTGATTACCAGTCTCATCATGAAGAATACTACATCTAGCTGCCCAGGCACTCAACCAGGCCCAGCCAAGCTGACACACAAACTTAACCACCACAATATTCTTTAAAGTTATCTAATAAAATTGGCCTCAGACAAAAAAAAAAAAAAAATTCTATTATATAATTCCTCTACTGAAATACAGGGCCATGTGAAAACCAACAAGTCACTATGCAGTTTCTCTCAGAAGCATAGGACTACAAAACGATTGGAACCAGGATTTTCATTCATTAAGTGAATCCTAGATACTGGGGACCATCACTCATCTGTCAGTTTGTGGTACTGTGGTGGCTTGCATGTTGCTGTGAAGCTGAAGGCTATGACACCAGTATTTCAAATACCAGCAGGGTCACATACAGTGGAGAGGTTTCAGCAGAGTTTCCAGATTAAGACAGACTCAGAAGAAGGAAGGGGCTATCCACTTCTCAAACAACTGGCCAGTGAATACCTTATGAAAAGTAGTGAAACACTGTCAGATATATTACTGAAAAACTTTATATAGTGCTAAAACACTGTCCAATATAGTGCCAGAATATGAACCCCTCAGGTTGGAAGGCACTCAAAATACTACTAGGGAAGAGCTGCCTCCTCGGACTACAGCCAACCTTAATGATATAGACAGAGTAAAGCTTTCAGGACCTCAATTTGCTGATGTGGTATGACTCAAAATGAGAAAAAACAGCTACAAACATCCATTAATAATCAGAACAAGGAATGTGTAAAGTATGACATTAATAATCAGAACAAGGAATGTGTAAAGTATGAATCTAGGAAAACTGGAAGTGGTCAAAAATGAAATAGAATGCATGAAGATTGATATCCTAGGCATTACTGAGCTAAAATGAACTGGTTTTGGCCATTCTGAATTAGAAAACCATTATGATCTACTATGCCAGGAATGACAAATTGAAAAGGAATGATGTGATATTCATCATCACAAAGAATGTTTCAAGATCTATACTGGAGTACAGTGCTGTCAGAGATAGGATAATATCCATACGCCTACAAGGAAGGAGCTCTGGTAGCATAGTGCCTAAGGCACTTGACTGCTAACCAGAAGGCTGGCGGTTCAAACTCACCAGCCACTCCTTGGAAGGAAGATGGGGCAATCTACTTCCGTAGTGATACTGCCTCGGAATCCCAAGGAGGGGTCACTATGAGTCGGGTCCGACTCAATGGCAAATAACAACAACAACAACAAGGAAGACCAGTTAATATTACTATTATTCAAATTTACGTACCAATCACCAAAGCAAAAGATGAGGAAATTGAAGACTTTTACCAACTTCAACAGTCTGAAATTGACCAACATGCAATCAAGATGTGTTGATTATTACTGGTGACTAGAATGCAAAAATTGGAAACAAAGAAGAATCACTGGTAGTTCGAAAATATGGCCTTGATGATAGAAATAACACTAGAGATCACATGATAGAATTTTGCACGACCAATGACTTATTCATTGCAAATACCTTTTTTCAACAACATAAATGGTGGCTATACATGTGGACTTCACCAGATGTAGAATACTACATCTGGTGAAGTCCACATAGACTACATCTATGGAAAGAGGCAAAGGAAAAGCTCAGTATCTTTAGCCAAAACAAGGACAGGAGTTGACTGTGGAACAGACTATCAACTACTCATATGCAAATTCAAGTTGAAGCTGAAGACAATTAAAACAAGTCCATGAGAGCCAAAATAGGACTTTAATTATATCCCTCCTGCATTTAGAGGCCATGTAAAGAACAGATTTGATGCACTGAACACCAATAACCATAAAACAGAGGAATTGTGGGATGACATCAAGAACATCATCCATGAAGAAAGCAAAAGGTCATTATAAAGACGGGAAAGGAAGAATAGACCAAAGTGGATATCAGAAGAGACTCTGCAACTTGCCCTTGAACAGAGAGTAGCTAAAGCAAATGGAAGAAATGACGAGATAAAAGAGCTGAACAGAAGATCTCAAAGAACAGCTAGAGAAAACAAAGTCAATTATAATAATGAAATGTGCAATGACCTGGAATTAGACAACCAAAAGGGAGGAACACACTTGGCATTTCTCAAGATGAAATAACTAAAGAAAAACTTCAAGCCTTGAGCTGCAATATCTGAAGAGTCTATGGGCAAAATATTGAGTGATGCAGGAAACATCAAAAAAAGACGGTATGGAATACACTGAGTCACTGTACCAAAAAGAATTGGTCAAAATTCATCCATTCCAGGAGGTGGCATATGATCAAGAGTCAATGGTACTGAAGAAAGAAGTAGAAGCTGCACTGAAGGAATTGCCAAAGAACAAGGCTCCAGGAACTGATGGAATTACCCATTGAGATGTTTCAACAAATGGATGCTGCACTGGAGGCAATCACTTGTTTATGCCAAGAAATTTAGAAGACAGCTACACTGGAAGAGATCCGTATTTGTACCCATTCCAAAGAAAGGTGATCCCACCAAATGTGGAAATTATCAAACAATGTCATTAATATCACATGCCAGTAAAATCTTAATGAAGATAATTCAAAAATGGTTGCAGCAGTATATTGATAGAGTACTTCCAGAAATGCAAGCTGGATTCAGGAGAGGACATGGAATGAAGGATATCATTGCTGATGTCAGATGGATCTTGTCTAAAAGCAAAGAATACCAGAAAGATGTTTACTTGTGTTTTATTGACTATGCCAAAGCATTTGATTGTGTGGACCATGACAAACTGTGGATAACACCGAGAATAATGGGAATTCCAGAACACTTAATTGTGCTTATGAGGCACCTGTACATAGACCAGGAAGCTGTCTTTCAAACAGAACAAGGGGATACTGCATGGTTTCAAATAAGGAAGGGAGTGCGTCAGGGTTGTATCCTTGCACCATATTTATTCAATCTATATGCTGAGCAAATAATCCGAGAAGCTGGACTATATGAAGAACATGGCATAGGATTGGAGGAAGACTCATTAAAAACCTGCGAAATGCAGACGACACAACTTTGCTGAAAGTGAGGATGACTAAAGCACTTACTGATGAAGATTAAAGACTACAGTCTGCAGCATGGGTTACACCTCAAAATAAAGAAAATGGAAATCCTCACAACTCAACCAATGAGAAGCATCATGATAAATGGAGAAAAGATTGAAGTTGTCAAAGATTTCACATTACTTGGTTCCACAATCAACACCAATGGAAACAGCAGTCAAGACATCAGAAGACAAATTAGACCAGGCAAATCTGCTGCAAAACACCTCTTTCAAGTGCTGAAGAGTAAAGAAGAGATGCCTCTTTGAAGACTAAGGTGTGCCTAACCGAAGCTATGGTATTTTCAATCACCCCATATGCATGTGAGAGCTGGACAATGAATAAGGAAGACTGAAGAAGAGTTGATGCTTTTGAGTTGTGGTGTAGGCAACGAATACTGTAAGTACCATGGACTGCCAAAAGAACTAACAAATCTGTCCTGGAAGAAGTGCAGCCAACTAAACTATCTTTAACAATACAGTAATAATAATGTTTTGATACACATTACAGAGTAGTGCCTGTTTGTTATTATAAACCATTGTATGTACCTAATTTTTAATATAACAGGCTTTAAGTTGGGAGAGGGGTTATTGGTTATATGTATGTAAGTCAGAAAGTTGGATGTTTGTAACCAAAGGACTGCCTGTAGTGAACTTCTATTCTGAGCCTGACTATGTGGCTGGGGTTATAGCAATAAGGGAGAAGTAGAGCCTGCCCTTAAAAAAAAAAAGAAGTACAGCCAGAATGCTCCTTGGAAGCAAGAATGGCCACACTTTGTCTGACCTACTTTGGTCATGTTGTCAGAAAGGATCATTCCCTGGAGCAGGATATTCTGCTTGGTAAAGTACAGGGTCAAAGAAAAAGAGGAATACGCTCAATGAGATGGACTGGCACAGTGGCTGCCATGATGGGCTCAGATATAGCAAGGATTGTGAGGCTGGCACAGGACTGGGCACTGTTTCATTCTGCTGTACATAGGATCACTATTAGTCAAGCCGACTCAAAGGCACCTAACAACAACAATATATATTGGGGAGAAGCTTCAGGAAAAAGTGGTCTACAGAAGAAATGGTCCTCTAGCTGTCACTGATGAGCTTTTCCTATAAATAAATGGACACAAATATCTACATATAAAATCCAACTACTGGAACAATGTTGTTGTTGTTGTTCTTATGTGCTGTAGAGTCGGCCCAACTCACAGCGACCCTTCCTTGGGTTTCCCAGGCGATATCACTATGGAAGTAGATTGCCCAACCTTCCTTCCAAGGAGTGGCTAGTGGGTTTGAACCGCCAACCTTCTGGTTAGCAGTCAAGTGCCTTAGGCACTATGCTACCAAAGCTCCTGGAACAATAGAAGTATTACTATACCAGAATACAACTATCCATAAACTATTCAAACTCTGCCATGTGTTTTATGTCCAAGCACGAGACAGCTTTGCATCTCACATATGGCCCCTGTCTTTTCTTACCTGAGTCTTCACTATGTCCATGGAGTGCCTGCCCCATATCTATCTCCCACCCCCACTGCTCCCATCTCTTCACCTGCTTAACTCCTACTCTTCCTGAAGACAACTATGATGCTCCCTGTTTTGGTTACCTAGTGCCACTCTAACAGAAAATACCACAAATGGGTGGCTTTAAACAACAGGAGTTTATTCTCTTACAGTTTCGGAGGCTTGAAGTCAGAGTTCCAAGTGCCAGGCTCTAGGGTCTGTGTGAAAGCCCCTTGACCTTGGGCTTCAGCTCTGCCTCTTGCTCTCGGCCAACTGAAGCTGGAGGCTTTCTTCTCTTATGCAGCTGCTGGCTGCTGAGGCCGACAAACCCAAGGTTGATAAAAGGCACAGTCCCGATATTACCAAACCACAGGGCAGGCCATTGATTCAAGTCCATTAAGAGTTCCAAGATTGGCAGACAACACGGCAGTCAGCTGAACGACCCAGCTACATGCAGTGTTCAAGCATACCAAAAGCTCCAGACCATGCCTAAAGCTTCTCCTTATATACTGGGAGCTGACCACATCTCTAAGGCAGCTACTCAGCTGCTCACAGTAGATTCCACCATAGAGCTGATTACCAGTCTCATCACAGGGAATATTACATCCAGCTACTCAGCCACTTTTTAAAACCAGGCCCAACCAAGTTGATACATAACCTTAACGACCCACCCCCTCACCTTCTCTCTTAAAAATTCTGTCTTTAATGCTATTGCCCCTTCTCCCCTCAACATGTACCCCAGAGCAGGTTATGTACTCCCTACTCTGGGCTCTCATGATACATGCTGATGTTGCTATTGTTAGGTGTCACTAAGTCAATTTCAACTCATAGAGACTCCATGTGATAGAGCACAACTGCCTCCATAGAGTTTTCTATGCTGTAACTGTTACAGTAGCAGATCACCATGTCGTTATCCCACAGAGCCACTGTGTAGACTCAAACCGCCAAGCTTTGGGTTAGCTGCTGAGCTCTTAACTGTTACACCACCAGGATTCCTTCATGATAAGTGTACATATCCCTGACCAGCAAGTAGTGACCCCGCTCTACTATAACTACTTGCTTCTCTTTATCCCATCTAGGCCAGGAAAGCGGTTATTGGTAACTATTCACCTTTGAAACTACAATGCCTGGTTCTCCTAAACCAAACTCACTGCCATTGAGTCAATTGTACTGATAGTGACCCCCATTGGGTTTCCAAGGCTGTAAATCTTTACAGAAGCAAACTGCCTCATGTTTCTTCCATGGAGCAGCTCTTGAGTTCAAACCACTGACCTTTTGGTTAGTAGCCAAATGTCTTAACCACTACACCACCAGAGCTCCTTGCCTGGTACAATAAATTCATATATCACAAGGCATATAAAAATAACTAGTTTTTACCTATAAACTTTCCAACTCCTTCCTTATATTCTGCCAAGACTTCATGATGTTCTGCCCTGTAAGCAAAACATAACAATGACTCATTGTGCACAACAATTTTGTGTGTGTGTGTGAATCTTTTCTTCATTCAAATAAGTTATATGGCAATAAACGTAGTCTTGAACAAGAGTTCCAAATAACTAGATTGGGTTTATCAGACAGAGTAAAGGTTTTCAACTTACAAGTGGTTCTTGAGATGAGAAACTATCAGAATACTTGAATTTTCTTCCTTCCCTGGCCCTTTTAAAATCACTGTTATTTGATCACATAGCGGCTTCTTTAATAAGTATAACATTAGTGTATATATTACACAAAATGATCTAGTTCCACTAGTTTTGTTTACATAACTTATTACTGGCAAGTAAATGTGCAGCAGGCAGAAGAACTTTGAGGCTGGTTCACAAAGACAGCCCCTAGATCTCAAGGCTAGCTCTCATGGAGCATTTCCTGTCCTGTCACCCCTGTGAGCACTTGTAATGAAGGCAGTATGGGACCTTTGGTTTGGTGGAAAATTGAAGCAGCCCTAATATAGGTCTGGTCTGTGGTCCAGATTATATCCAGATGATGTATGATACCTAATACCTCTCTTCTGATTTCCTTCTGCAAATCTACAAATTTTACACATATTAGCAAAATTAGTCTTTCTCTTTATTGCACCTTATCAAAGTAATGAAACTGCTACCAGAGTGGTCACTTGAATGATCACTTACAGTGACGACAGTGTAAGCTGAGCCATGGCAGGAACCCTGTGGATATTATGCAGTGTGTGATGGGTCAGGTGTGGGGCAGAGCCAGTCTTGGTGTACAGAAGGCAGCCTGGAATGTCCATGGTGCAGTCTCTGGATTTACCCAGGTTTTTTATTTTTCCTAGGCGACAGCCATTAACCACTTTGGTAAGACTCAACTTCATCCTAAGGGAATGTTCTAGGTCCTGAAAAGAAAAGAGCATTAAATTTAGAAGGAGCTCCACAACATCTAAAGGCTAGGTTTTCAAAGAAAGCAACATATTTAAAACGTCAAGGATAGTGTATTTATCACTACTTCTAGTCTATGTTTTGATTTTTTTTTAGGTATCAGGAATAGAAAAAATAAAATATCTTCCCTAAAGTCATAGAGCAAGATAACAACACCATCCAAATTTAAATTCAGTTATAGCATTTTTGTCTGAGCTGAAGAAAATCAAAGAAGTAGAAAGACAAGAAGGAGAAACACTAATCATGGAAAAAGTCACGAAGCCACCGGTCCTCAGGCTCATTCTGTACCTGAAAATGTTCATCAAGAAAGGTCAGTGTTTGGGCCACACTGATTTGATCCATTTTTTCTGTCTCTAATTTAAGAGAATACTTATCTACATTTAGCAACTTTTCCTAATATGTTATTAAGAGAAGAAAGTGGGCCCCAAAACAGCATTTGGCTGTTTATTAAAATATATGGAAGAATATATATATAAAAATAAACAGATTGTCTCTGAGTGGAGGAATTAAGAGAGATTTTTTATTTCCTAATTTGTTCTTACACTGTGTTTGAGCAGAGGTAAGAAACTGTGTAGAGTATACATGTATTCCAGGAGCTCAGCATTACTTTTATAATTTGAAGAAAAAAGTATTTGTTTAAAAAAAAAAAAAGGTATGCCTTCTAACTTTCATAGATACAACAGGAAAAAAAATTCAGAAAAAAGTATCAATTACTTTGTTGGCTGTAGCTTTTGGTTTTTATTACGTGAAGCAAAATTCTGGATTTTACTTTTCACATACATTACGGAAATTGCTTAAGCATGCATGTTGGATTTTCTCAAAATGTCACTACCAAACCCACTGCTATTGAGTCAATTCCAACTCATAGCAACTGCCATAGGGTTTCCAAGGCTGAATCTTTATGGAAGCAGGCTGCCTCAACTTTCTCCCATACAGGAGCTGGTGGGCTAGAACTGCCGATCTTTTTGGTTAGCAGCACAATAGCTTAATCACAGTGCACCAGAGCACCCTCAAAATATCACTACATGTATCAGTAATGAATGATAATTCATTGCATCTCTACAGCAAATACCTTACCCTCTAGAATTTTTATCAATAGGCCAGGCCTGGTGTTATTAGTAGATAAACTATCACAGCTATCTGAGAGGCCCAAGCTTCAGATCTTGTCCTCTCTTAAGTATTATAGTATACAATCATCTGAAGGTCAATCATTATATAAGATGCTACCATTAGTTAAGGAGCTCTGGTAGCACTGTGGTTAAGGCATTGGGCTGTTAACCAAAAGACTGGTGGTTCAAACCCACCATCCACTCTGTGGGAGAAAGACAAGGCAGTCTATTTCTGCTAAAGATTTACAGCCTTGGAAACCCTATAGTGGTTGCTGTGAGTCAGAATCAAGTGGGTTTGGTTTTGGTTCATCATTAGTTAAACACTGAGGAAAATGAACATTACTTTAAAATTTAAAAAAAAGGGGGGGGGGCATTACCACTGAGTCAATTCCAACTCAGAGCAACCTACTGGACAAAGAACAAATGACCCATAGAAAGCAGACCACCTCATCTTTCTCTCATACAGTAGCTGGTAGGTTCAAACCACTCACCTTTCGGTAGCAGCCAAATGCCTTGACCACTGCACCACCATAGTTCCTTTAGTTAAATTCTTACATTTAAATAAAATATCCAATGTAGTCTTTAGGTTTTAGGAATATAATTAACTATTTTCTGTATGGTTCAGTAAGAGTTCATGTTTAAAATGACTTATAAGAACTAGTATAAGTGTTTGACAACAATGAGATACCATCTCACCCCAGCAGTGATGGCAAAGTTCAACAAGACAGAAAATAAATGCTGGCGGGGATGTGGACAGATTGGGACTCTCATACACTGCTGGTGGGACTGTGAAGTGATACTACTATTATGGAAAGCAGTATGGTGATTCCTTAGAAAGCTGGAATTGGAGATACCATTTGACCCAGCAATCCCATTACTAGGTATATATTTTAGAGAGGTGAGAGTCCAGGATAGGAACAGATATACACACACCCATGTTCATCGCAGCACTATTCACAATAGCAAAAAGATGGAAACAACCTACATGCCCATCAACAGAAGAGTGGATGACCAAACTATGATACATACACACAATGGAATGCTATGCCAAAACCAAAATCAAACTCATGCTGTCAAGTCAAAGCCGACTCATAGCGACCCCTCCTTAGGTTTCCTAGGCAGTTTCTCTACAGAAGTAGATTGCCCAGTCTTCCTTTCAAGGAGTGGCTGGTGGGTGCAGCACTAAAGAATAGTGTAGAGTCTGCAAAACATCACATACATAAATGAACTTGGAGGACACTATGCTGAGTGAAATAAGTAAATCACAAAAGGTCAAATATACTATTAGTTCATTGTTGCAGAGGGTCAAGGAAAGGTTTATATATGGAGGGAAACTTTCTCTGTTGGTTGCCAGGGGTGGGAGGGGAGAGGAGGGAAAAAAAAAAAAAAAATGCATTGACCCATGTCACTTTAGTTTTGTGTATTTCACTGTACATAAATTATATTTCAATAAAATATTTAAAAAAAGTAAAAAATAAAGAACTAGTACAAGTGTTTGAGAAAATCCTGGTGAAATTTCTATCACTGTAACTTTGCTATTTCAAGTTATCACAAAGATTGTTGCTGTTGTTATGTGCTATCGAGTCACATCTGACTCATAGCGACCCCTTCTTGGGTTTCTGAGGCGGTATCACTATGGAAGTAGATTGTCTAACCTTCCTTCCAAACACAAAGATAGAGTCATAAAAATAAATGTCAATGTAACATTCACATGACTTCATACAGTCTTCATGCAGTTTTCATACAAGTGAAGACTGTTAAGGACAAAAAGTTATGTTTTAAAAAAGCATGATATCGATACTATTAAAACAAACAAACAACCCTGCTGTTACAATTTAAAGCTTTTAAAAGGAGAAGAATGTTTATACCAAAAAAACATTATATATCATATGTCTGACAAGGGTTCAATATCCAGATTACATGAAGAACTTCTATAACTCAACAACAAAAATACAACCCAATTAAAACATCGGCAAAGAACTTGAATAGGCATTTCTCCAAAGAAGGTATACAAATGGCTAATATGCACATGAAAATATGTTCAACATCATTAGTCATTACCGAAATGCAAATCAAAACCACAGTGAGATACCACTTCACTGGGTTGGAGGCTATAAATCTTTATGGAAGCAGGCTGTCTCATCTCTCTTCCACAGAGTGGTTACTAGGTTAGCAGCCAAATGCCTTAACCACTACGCCACCAAAGCTCTTTTCATACCTAGTGGGATGGCTATTATCAAAAAATCAGGCAATAACAATTATTGGTAAGGATGTGGAGAAACTGGAACTCTCGTGCACTGCTGATGAGAATGTAAAATGGTGTAGCCACTGTGGAAAACTGGTAGTTCCCCACCCCCCCCAAAAAAAAACAGAGCTACCATATGACCTGGCAATTCCACTCCTAGGTATATACCCTGTATGGTCAGTAACTGCAACACCCCAAAATGGCTCTCAGATTCAATTTTGTTTAGCTGGGCTCATAAGAAGTACAAGTCATTTTTCCCTCTCCCTCCCTGACACATATACCTCTGCTCTGCCCTGTCAGGTATTAACCATGTTCCCTGTAAGGTATTAACTCATCCTGAGAATAGTTTTAGGCAATAAAGCTTGCTAACCACCAGCATCTTATCAGAGCATACACAGGTGGTCTTGTAGGGCACTGCCTGGGGACCTCTCACTATCAGCCCTGGCCCCACCCAGTCTGAAGTCAGTCACAAAGCCCCCATCCCCAATTCCCCAAACACAGGTATAAATACCCCTGCAAAATGGGAGAGTTTAGCAGTCATCTTGGATCGATCCCAGCCAATAGCAATGTTTGTAAGCCTGTTTTCTTTTATCTTTTAAATCCCTTCTCTCCTGATTCTCTTTGTTCTTATTCTGAATATATGTCACTGACTACAGGAGCTCTGGTGGCTTAGTGCCTAAGGCATTTGACTGCTAACCAGAAGGCTGGTAGTTTAAACCCACCAGCCACTCCTTGGAAGGAAAGTTGGGCAGTCTACTTCCGTAGTAATACCGTTTTTGAAACCCAAGGAGTCACTATGAGTCGCACTCGACTTGACACAGTGCGCTGTTTGGATTTTGGTTTTGGTCACTGCCTACGCCTCCAGGGAAGTTTTTCTGACTCTCCTCTACCTACGCAGGAGGAAGTTTTAACCTCCCTGGGAAATTCCCAAAACACACCCAAAAGAACTGAAAGCAGAGATTGAAAGAGATACATGTACAATGTTCACTGCAGCACTATTCACAATAACCAAAGGTAGAAACAACCCAAGTGTCCATCAACAGATGAATGGATAAAGAGGAAAATGTGGTACATACAAATCCCACCCCCCCAACCTACTGCCATAGAATCATTTCTGACTCATAACAATCCTGTAAGACAAAGTAGAACTTTCCCATAGGCTTTCCATGGCTATAAATCTTTACAGAAGCAGATTGCCTCATTTCTCTCTCTTGCGAAGTGGCTATTGGGTTCAAAAAGGTGCATGCCTTAGGCACTGCACCAGCAGAGCTCTTGTGGTACACAGAGACAATGAAATATTATTCAGCCATAAATAGGAATGAAGTTCTAATATATGAAGCTACAACACAGATGAACCTTAAAAACATTATGCTAAATGAAACAAGTCAGTCAAAAAGGACAAATACCATATGATTCCACATACGTGAAATATCTAGACTAAGCAAATTCATAGAGACAGAAAGTAGATTAGACTTACAGGGGTTAGAGGGAGGGAAGAAAGGGAATTATTACTTAATGGGTACAGAGTTTCTGTCTGGGATGATAAAAATAGTTTTGGGAATAGATGGTGGTGATGGCTGTA